ACCAGAATGTCCCAGCCTGAGCATCGGTGGTGCTTGCTCTTTGGGAACCACGCTCTCCGGTCCCTCCTCCTGCATCTGCCACCTGGAGAGAATGACATCCGCCTCCCAGGGTTCCAAGAGGGCTGTATGAGGCCGTGGCGGTGAAGGCTCCTGAGAAACATCCCCTCTCTATAGAAACAGACAGGGCTGCTTCATCTCAGAGAACACGGGGTGTTTCCCGAGACCCCTGTCATCCGCCCCCCAACCGTCTCCACACCCCCGGGCTGAGCTGCGGGGTAGGGGGGGACAGCAGGAGAGACGGGGTCTCCTCTCTACAGCACTCCCTTCTAGTCCCTGCCCCGCCAAGCTCACCCTCTGCTGCTCGGGCTATAATTTAGCTGTTCTTGAAAGCGATGTTTCTTTCGGCTTGTTTTAACCTTTAGACTTCTTACTTTTAGAAGAACCCCTGCCAACGCACACACCCCTTGTTGCTAATTAGGGAGCTTTCGATGCAGGGGAAGCTCTTAGAGAGAAGTGTAATAGCAGGTCCTGCCTGACTCCCGCTCTCACTCCAGTGGGGACCACTTTGCCCCCGCTAGCGGGTTCAGTCCCTTGGCTGGGCCCTGGGACGCCGACGCCTGGCTAGTGGGGCCTGGGAGCAGGGGACTGTCCACCCTTGGAGCTGCCTCTCCATGCCTGTCCCGCTGGGCCCTTTGTGGCCATGGGTTTTGCCTTCAACCAGATTCTGGTTTCCTAGCTGGGTCCCCCATTTGGGAACCAGGTTTCTCTCTTGGAGGTGCTTCCTGGTGAGCCAGGTCGCTGCAGTGCCTTCAGTCTGGACTCCACTCCATGTGGTGAGGACCTTCCCCAGCCGTCGGATCTCGGCTCCCATCTGTTGATGTTGCCTCCTGTCCCTGGGCCTCTGTCCCTGGGCTCCCCTGTCCCTGTCCTCAGCAGCGGGGCTGGGGCTCTATGGGCTGTTTGGAGGTGAGTTCTGACAGCACCGCTGGAGTGAAGTGGCCTCTGCCTGCGTAGCAGGTGCCCTCGCCCTCTGGAGCGCCTCAGCACACAGCCAGGCTCATGCTCCCTGCTCCTCGGCTCCCACAAGACTTTCACCTGCTCAGTTGCAGAAATGCCCCGCCCGCCCACACAGGCTTCCAGCTGTGGCGAGTGCCTCAGCCCCCAGTGCCTCAGTCCCCGCAAGCAAGCGGCTGTGCTGCTGGAAGACCAAAACCAAGCAGCTCTCAGGAGTTCCCGAAATGAAAGTTTGTTTCTCACTCACACATCTGAGGAGGGTCAGACACCCCTCCTGGACAACGCCCCGGCGGGGCTGCAGGACCCTGGCTTCTTCCCACCACCACCCTAGTGCTGTGGGTCCTCTGGGCCAGCCACGGGGCTGGAGGAGAAGAGACAGAAGGTAATATGATGTTCCGGGGCCAGGCACGCGGAGGCACATGTGAGCCCACCTGAGCCCCATCTGACCACTACCTGACCGCAGCCGGGGCTCTGATCTGCCTAGCAGCCCAGACGGGGGATGGACTGACAAGTGGTCTTGGCCACAGTCTGCCCTCGGGGTCCCCAATAGCTACTTCTTCCTCCCGCATGTAGAAGAGTCACACCCCCGAGGGGAACAAGCCCCAAACTCACCCAGTCTCTATCCCCAGCTTCAAGGCCAGTGTTTGGCTGGTGCGAATCCTCCCACCTGGCCCAGATGTAGGCCCTCTCGACCTGGTGACCTATGAGCTAAATGGGCCATGGGCAAACCTCAGCGAGGGGGGCAGGGGTTGTGACTCACCAAGCTCTTCCCTTAGGAAACTGGGTGAGTGGGAGGCAGTGGCCTCCCTGCTTCACAGCAAGCTGCAGTCCTGGCCTGGGTGCCTGTGTGGGCTCTGTGCACCTGGGCCAGGGACCTTCCTTGGGCTCCAGAGGAATCCCTGGCCCATGTTCCCTGTGGCTCCTGGCTCAATCATTTAGGGCCTCTCCCTTGTCCACTTCTCTCCTTGGCCACATTGGAAATGGCTGTTGCTGGGCAACTCCCTGGGCGACCCCCTCCTTGGGCTGTGTTACCTTGCAGCCACCTCTAATCTGGGGGCTGAAGGTTGGGAACCTGTGTGTGTGTGTGTGTGTGTGCGTGTGTGTGTGGAATGCTAAGTAATTTCTGATTGCCTACCATGCCACCATGAACTTCTTAAAAAACAAAAAAAATCGCTTTTCAATTGACAAACTCAAGTATGCTAAATTTCACCTTCCAGGGAACAAGTATATGGCTCCTGGCAAACATACACAGTTCCATCCCCCCAGGTGTCTCTTGTGCTTCTGGTCGTCAATCCTTGCCCCATCCCCAGTGCCCGGCACCCTTGACCCACTTTAGAGTCACACAGTAAGAAGTTTCAAGTGGGTTCATTCACTTCGCAGAAGTCACTGGACGCAGCCAGGCTGCCCTGCCTGTGGCCGGCGCCTCCCTTTTGATTTTTCCTGCCTGCTAGGGTTCTGCTGCGTGGAAGCTACATTAAAGGATTTTATGTTGTTTTCCATATTGGGGCCAGAAACGTGAATAAAACTGCTGCAAACATTTGCTTATAGGTTTTGGTGTCAACCTGAGCTTTTTTTTTTTTTTAATTAATTAATTTATTTATACAAGCACTGGGTACAGTCAGAAGCGCGGGAGGGTGAGAGAATTCACCAGAGCCAGAGCGGGGAGCAGAGCAGGCAGAAGGACCGAAGTACACTGCTGAGGGGAGCAGCGGGCGGCAGGAGAGGTCTGCGCGCCATGTGGGACCCTCCTCCGGTGGCCGGGGAGCAGCCGGGGATCGAGACGGGGAGCAGCCGGGGATCGAACCGGCGCCGCAGAGGCTGCGGGCAGCTTCGCAACCCAGCGCTCAACCGCTGCGCCACGGGGAGGCCCCAACCTGAGCTTTTATTTCTCTCGGGTAAGTGCCAGGTCTGGAGTTTCTGGGCCACGGGGTAGGCCTCTGCTTCCCTCTATGAGAAGCTGTCTGACGGAGTCCTGGGCTGCTTGGACCTTCCCAGAGGGCTGCTGGTCACTTTCTTTTCTTTCTGACACTTGAAATTGTGCATTTCTGAGGCCAGGGATCTGACTCGGTGCAGTCTGAATTTCCTCAAGAATGATGGACATTGAGTGTCATTCCCTGCTTAGTCGCCACCCGATCTTCTTGGCTCGTGTCTCTTTTCAGCTCTTGTGCCTATTTTGCTATCAAATTGTTTTCTTAGTTTGCGTTATGAGTATTCGTCATAGATTGTGAATATAAGTTTTTTAATTAAATATGCAATTTGCAGATATTTTCTCCTGGTTTTGGCTTGTTGTTGGAATAGCCAAAGTTTTCATTTTAATGAAGTTGAATTGATCAAGCTTTTCTTTAAAGATTCTATTTTTTTTTTTTAAAGATTTAGTTATTTATTTATACAAGCACTGGGTGCAGTCAGAACCGCGGGAGGGTGAGAGAGCCAGAGTCAGAGCCAGAGCCAGAGCGGGGATAGAACAAGCAGACTGACGAAGTACACTGCTGAGGGGAGCAGTGGGCACGGCAGAAGAGGTCTGTCACGCCTAAAGATTCTATTTTTTGGTGCTGTATTTAAGAAGTCATTACCTCACCTAAGGATGCAAAGATTCTCCACATTTTCTCCTGGGGTAGTGGAAGGGTTTGTATCTTCACTGTTGGTTTCTTTGGCAGTGCGCCTACCCAGGGAGAGCCTGATTGGCTTGCTCCGTCCCTCTCCCCCGCACCAGTACACACACCCAAGGGCCTTCCCTGGCTTGAACAGAAAGACCACACCCTTACTCTGATCCTTGCTGCAACTCAGTCCATCCAGCTCAGAGGTTGTACTGGCCCTTTGCACCTCACACCTTTCAAATTCCATTTGCAGGTAGGAAAAGTTGGTGCTTTTCCAACCCAGTGACACCCAAATTTCTGTACTTTCCTATTCCTCTGCTTTCTGCTTGCTGACTGCTCAGTTCTTTCTTGAACTTGTCTCTTCCTTTATATTATTTCCCTAGATGTCCCCAGTGACCTCTGATAAACACAGATTATCAGTGCTCTGATTGCCTACTTCTCCCTGGAGCTTTAAGTGCAGTAGACACAGCTTCTACCCGTCAAGGAATCAGAGGTCACTGTTTTAGAAAAAGCTGCCCCTGCAAAGTCTGGGTGTCCAGTGTCCAGTTGGTCCATGCCACTCTGTCTTCCTATCTCTTCACAAACTGAGGCCTTCGTTTAGAATGAAAAGAAGAAACAACAACAATCCTGCAATCCCTCACTGTCTCCTATTTCTTGCTCAGTCAGGATAAGAAACACTAGTCCCACTAACAATCAACCTGGCGTTTCAATGCCCAAACACCATAAAGCCTTCTATTTTACTCATCTTAGCACCCGCTGAACACTGGTGGCTCTCTCCTTGCCGCTGACCCAGAAAACTGGCATCCTCCGGCACGCGCCCTGGTCCTTCTGGGTCCTTCAGCTCCAGCCACCAGGAGGGAGGAGAGAGAGTGCATGGAGGACCACGTGGAGTGGCCAAGAGCAGGACTTTGAGAGGTGCCCGTTATGTCCACCTGCTTCCCATTGTCCAGAACCTAGCCCCAAGTCCCTAGCATGACTGAAAGGGATCCTGGGAAGTGTAGTCTTTCTGTGGGTCCCAGAGCAGCAAACAGGAGAGGCAGAATCTGACTCTATGGACCTAGCATTTCTCTGGCCGAGAGCAGGCAGCTCTTTCCTGAATCAGGTTTCTCCTTGTCCTTCCAAGGATCACGTATTGAGTAAACCTCATTGTTTTATTCCATTCCATCCACTCAGCAATTCCTTTCTACAAACATTGGTGAGAATCTCAATGTGCCAGGCGCAGCACCAGCATGGGGGGGAGGGGGTGGCGGGGCCAGGGAGGAGGCAGGTGGGGCGGGGCGGCCGGCAGGGAGGGGTGGTGCTAATGTTTATCCAGCAGCTGCTGTATTTCTAGCACTGCATTCGTTCCCACAGGGAGAGAGACACCCATTTTACTCCATTGTACAGATGAGTAAATTGGCTTAGAAAGGCAGTCTTGCCCAAGGTCAGAGAGCTGGCAACTCCATCAACTGTGATTAAGTTTTACATTTATTCTAAGTGGTTAACCTAAATTTGCACAGGAGGAAGTTTATACCCTTCAGGTTATAGTCTGATGGGGGAAACACACAAAACCAAATAGTTGCGATCCTAGGAGGCAGGTGGTTGGGTAGGGGTGGGGCGGGAGCCATCACAGCTGGGGTGGGAAGGTGAGGGGAATCGTGCAGGGACTAGGGCATTGGAGTCGGGGCTCAGGGGGTAGTCAGGAGCTCCCTAAGGGGAGAAGGACTAAGTTTCTGCTACATGCATTGCCCTGTGATCTCTGTGCCTGACATGGGAGGCCCCCCTCAAATTTCAGTTTGGGGTTTCTTATTTTAATTTGTAATATCTGTGATGGGGGCTTCTGAGGGAAGATCTAAAGGAAACGTTCTGAGCCAGCTGGGCTGTGTCCCCAGGAGGTGAAGATGTTCTGATAAAGGGCTGTGATCATGACCTTGCAGAGCAGCCCGGCAGGAGATAAGGGCGGCAGAGGTGCAGAAGGAGCTTCCTGCCGAGGGCTGATTGGCTGGCCACGCGGAGCTGCTGCTGCGGGCTGGGCCAGAGAACCCGCTGACTTGGTCAGCAGCGTGCTGAGGCTGCACTTCTTGCTCCTTCCTCTGAGACTGCATCTCCGGAGTCACCCAGTCCACCAGGGCCAGTGGAGACAGGCAGGGGCAGGGGGGTGAGCTGGGGCTCAGCCTTCATACTAGTTAGCAATGAGGTGGGAGGAAAGTCACTTCATCCACCGCTCTGGACGTCCCTTTCCTAGCATCAGTGGGGTTTATCAGTCTTGCTTCAAAGGACTTTTGCTGGAATCAGCATGTAATGGGCCGGAAGTACCTACAAAGGTATCAGGGGTAGAATAGATGTTCAATAAAAGGTGGCTACATTTTTTACCACCGTCATTATCACCATCATCGCCATCACCATTGCTCAGGCATCACTGTCATCACCATCCTCCCCGCATCATCTCCCCTCCCTCTCCTCACATCCCTCCCTCCGGCCTCCCTTTTCATGCTGCTTCACAAGATAAAACTTCACTCTGCGGGGGCCTGCCCTGGTGGCACAGCGCCACTGGCGAGGGTCCCACATGGTGCACAGACCTTTCCTGCCGCACCCGCTGCTCCCCTCAGCAGTGTACTTCGTCAGTCTGCCTGTTCTGTTCCCCACTCTGGCTCTGGTGAATTCTCTCACCCTCCCGCGCTTCTGACTGTACCCAGTGCTTGTGTAAATAAATAAATCTTTAAAAAAAACCACAAACTTCACTCCACAGCTGGCAGGCAGCTTGTCAGCAGTGCTGGGGCCTCCTCTGTGCACAGTGTGAAAATCAGTTTGCTCTCTAGAGGATTCTGAATACCCCAAGTGACAGTGGCATCTTCTCTCCGTGTGTCTATGTCTTCCTCTGTCCCTGTCTCTCTTTATCTCTCTCACCTTTTCTGCGGGAGGAGCTACTGCTTAAGGAAATGTAGTTTCCAGGAGGAGTATGGAGTGAATTGTTCTCATCTACTAAGCAGCAGCTCCAGGCCTCGCTAGAAAGAACATTCCAACATAGGCCGAAAACTTCAGCAATTAACAAATGCTAAAACAGGGGGGTGGTGTTCGCATGGATTGGGAACAACCACGGAAATAGCCAGAATGGTTCTTGGCACTCCACGTTCATAAGAAGGCGCACTTTCCACCATGAGACAGAACAGAACCCACAAGATTCCTAACAGGGAACCTTGAACTTACTTCCAGGAGGCGAGCAGAAGTTCGTGTAAGAGTCACCGCTCACAGAAGCTGGCGCTGACCTCTTTGCAGACTGCTGGGGGATGCTGGCATCTGGGTTTGGAAGACATAGAAATTTTTCATCCTGTTGGAGGATGCCGGCGGTGGGGCTGCTAAAACCAACCCCTCCCCAGTAACTGATGCGTCCCCTTAGGAAACCCATAAGGCCCCCAACCCCTTGACTTCCCTCTCCCACCTCGCCTGCCTCCCGCTCATTACACACGGCCCCCCCTCCTCACCAGGAGCCACAGATTTCAAGTGCTTGTTTATTTGTCCGTCTCCCCAGCTAACATGTAGGCTCCGATTTTTGCTGAGACATTCTTGGACCCCCCCATTCTCACTGAATGCTGCCTGCTTTTATATTTTGTGGACCTTTATGGGAACAAAGAGAGCTCTGGTGTGAGATTTGGGTTCAAGCCCAACTTGCGAGACGTGTTCTCATCAGCGTGACCTCCTGCCTCTGCTCTTCACGGAGGCAGGAGGGGATGAGACCAGGGGCTGCAGTGGAGCTCAGGTCTCTGGCCCAGCTTGGCACGCTGTCGGGTACCATCCCCGGAACTGCCTCCGCTGGAGGTTTCAAGAGGGGAAGGCTGGTGTGCATTGAGAGTTGTCCTTGAGGGCAAGGACAAAATTCTAGGACTGTTATTTATAGTTAAATCATTTCAATCTAAATCCAGTACCTGTTTATTTATAAATACTCCATACAGGGGCCTCCCTGGTGGCTCCAGGGGTTAAGACGCAACCTATGAAGCTATTTGCAGCCACGGCAGCACGAGTTTGAGCCCTAGCCAGGGAGCTACCCACATGGCATGGCAGACCTCTCCTGTTTCGCCCGCTGCTCCCCTCAGTCCATCCGCCTGTTTTGCTCCCCACCGTGTCTCTGGTGAATCCTCTCACCCCCTCACCTCTGACCTGTACCCAGTTCTTATATGCATAAATAAATAAAAAAATACACACTACATATGTATACCTATATTCATACATGTGCATACAAACACACACACACACACACACACACACACACATATATATAGTTAATTAAAATATATGCTCCAACAGTCTTGGTTTTTTATTTGAAGCAGTGTGGAAGTTATGTCCAGGTGACAGAAACTCAGGAATTTGTACACTTAACCTCTTAACATGGAAAGTAATTTCCCCTTAGGTGCAGGCGCTGGAATGTCAAGTAACTTTGTCCGTGCAATGTTGGGCTCCAGTTGGCAACATCGACTTGTATCACACTGGAATAATGTGGCTTTGCATTGAAATGTTGTTGATCGCAGACACAAAATGGCCCTAGACTCTGCCCCTTTTTTAGATTTCCTGTCTACTCTACTTTTCTTTGTGGCTTTAAAATTTTTTTTTAATGTTTTTCCTTTTTTTTAGTATTATTTTTTCTTTTTCGAGTGACCATACACATGGCTTTATTTTTCCATAACAATCCATTCAAAGTAGCGTTTTAAGAATTTTTTCTTTTTGTTTCTTCAAACATTTAAAGAATTTTTGTAGTTGTTCTGTCCCTTTCATAAATTGCACCATAAATGCAAGAGCCTGACAGGTGATCTGAAAGATTTGGGATCCGTGTCTTGGCCACTAACTTACTGAACAGAGGGCCTCTCTCCCCCGGGTTTTGGTTCTTCACGGCAAGGTGAGTGGATTGGGCTGGATCCTGCCATGAAGTCCCTTCTAGCTCAATGATACTGACACCCCCTAGTTGGCCAGAATTTCTTTCAGTCTTCTTCCCTTCACCCCAAAATGTATTAAGACCCACAACGAATGCAAGAAGTTACTTTATTTGGCCCTCATGCATGAACAAAAATCGCAAATAAGCAAAATTATCACAAAAGAGCCAAAGGTAAGATTGGAATGAACCCTCTTTCAGACAAATCCATCAACACACACACCTGTGTCTTGCACCAGCTTTGCACGTAGCAGCTGATTTACCTGAGCGCAGGGCTGGAAGTTCTTTGTGAACTGACAGAGTCTTGGTGAGGATGTTCTGTGTGAGCCTGGAGTTGCAATCATGTCCCAGGTTCTGAAGCAATGCCTATCGCTGTTTTGCATAGTAGGAACCATAGGTGAAAGGGCAGAGGCACCCTCAATGGCTCTGACGAAGAGTCCATTCACTCATTCACTCATTTGGAGCCTCTCACTGGTGAAAGACCCCAGTAAGTCATTCAGATGAAAGGACAGGGGGTGTGGGTCCAGAAAACTCATGTATATTGTAATTTTTTCACAGCTTTATAAGCCACAGAGGTTTAGGATGTGCTGTCTGATAAGGCTTGGCATATGCATATACCCATGAGATCATCTCCACAATCCTGGTAGCAAACATACCTATCACCTCCAACTATCTAGCCACATTTTTATATAATGCATAGAATTTTCTGACATGTCTGTGAATACAGTTTTATCTTTTTTCAACACATAGTCCTTCATTTCTTTTTCTTGCCTTATTATACTGCCTCTGTGGTATATTGGGGAATAGAAGAGGCAAGAGTGATCTTCTGTGACTTGTTCCTGGTTTTAGAATGAAAAGATTCAGTCTTTCATTATTGAATATGATGTTGGCACATGTTTGTGGAAGCTGTCCTTTATCAGATTAAGGAAGATCCCTTCTATCCCTAGTTTGCTGAGGGCTTTTTTAAAGGTCAGAAATGAATGGATTATTTGGCTAAATGCTTTTTATGTATCTATTAAGATGGTCTTGTGATTTTTTCATTGTTGTATCTGTTAATGTGTTGAATTACATTGTTGCTTTTCAAAAATTAAACCAACCTTGTATTCCAAGGAGAAAATACACAAGGTCATGGTGGTTTGTACATGTTGTTGGATTTTGTTTGCTAAAGAATTTAAGAGAATTTTTACGTTATTTTCATGTGGGACATCATACTATAGGTGTCTTCTCTTGTAATGTCATTATCTTGTTTTGATATCAGGGTTATTATGTTGGCTTTATAGAACGTGTTGAAACATGTGTCTGCCTCTTCTATTTTCTGGACCATTTTGGTGCTCTTTCTGAAATGTTTGAATAAGATTCAGCAGTGAATTTATTTTCCAATTGGAAAGTTTTAAAGTAAAATATGAATGTATTTAATAGTTAAAGTAATATTGGGTTTCTTTCACCTTAGTCATTGATAGTGTCTCCATTTCATCTAAATTTTTGACTTTGCATATAATAATAATGTTCCCTAGTTATTCTTTTAGTATCTCTAGTGACTTGTTGCAATGGCACCATTCTTATTCCTGATACTGGTGGATTTTTTTCTTCTCTTTTTTCCTCTTAATAAGTATGACTAGAGTTTCATCAATTACAATTGATCTTGTCAAATAATCAGTTTTGGTTTTAATGATATTTCTATTGACTTATGTTGGCTCACTATTTCTTGATTTCTACTCTGGTCTTATTTATTTATTTATTTATTTATTTATTTATTTATTTATTTATGTCTACTTAATTTGGGATTGTTTGTTCTTCTTCAACTAGTTTATAAAGGTGTAAGCTAAGATCATTGATCTGATCTGAAACCTTTCATCTTTTCTTATAGAGGCATTTAAAACTTCGAGTTTTTTTCAAGTGCTGCTAAAGCAGAATACTATAGATTTTAATGTGTTTTCAATTTCATTCTGTTCAAACTACTTTCTAATTTTCCTTTTGATTCCTCCTTTTGAAACCAGAGTCTTCTGGCACATGAACCTGCCCTGCCTGACCTGAGTGCAGGCTGGTCTCGGCAGGTGCCAGGTTTTCCCCTTTCCTATCTGACTCCAGGGTCATAAATGAACCAAATCGGGTTCAAGATAAATGGACCAATCAGGTTTGAATTCTCTAGCTGTCAGTCAAAGGCTTTAGCTAACTATGCAGATTGAAAATGGAAGTGTGCTGATTGGTGCTAGTCAGACCAATCAGACATTTAGGATTGAAAATGGTCTACTCAGGCTTGTAGGGTGGGGCACTTGAAGAAGATATAAGGCTGCCTACCTTAAGTAGGCAGCCAGCCTCTGAAGAGAGAAGGAGCAGTCAGCAGCTGGCCTCTGAAGGAGCATTCAGTATACATCCCCTGTGGGATTCACCAGACCTCTGTAGACCTTCACAGAGACCCACCACTGCACCTACCTCCAGCCGTGCCTCTGACATCACCTGCATGGAGCACTGTTGGCCTTGGCCCAGTGTCTCAAAGAGCTGTTGGCTATTGGGTCATTTCAATAGCTCACAAAGGGCTATAATACTAGTGTCTCTGACATCACTCCCTGGTGCTGTTGAGCCCCTCATGGTCCAGTCTGGCATCTGGGGCTTATGCAGCCTGGCCTTCAGACTGTTGCTGTGGTGTTACCTTTGTGGCCCCACTTGTGAGCACCTCCAGCTGCCCTGTGAGTTGGACCCTGGTGCACTGCTGACCGGTGCACCACCAGCTCCCAGCTCTTATTGATGGGACAGCATCATCTGGCACAAGTAGCCTTGTTTTTGGAACTACAGGACACTATCTGGGGTGAGACAGCTAGCCACTGTGGCCTTAAAAACTCTCTCTTTTCCCAATCTCTTATTGTTCAATAAACCTCCTTGTTGTTTGGCCATGAGCTTGAGTGCTGTCTTACAGTTGAGTGCACTAGCGACAGCCCAAAGGCAGTGACTTGTCCCTTGGTGTTGTCTTTAGCATTGGCTGTTGGTACCATCTCTAACACTTTTACTTTGGCCTGTAAGTTATTAGAAGTATGTTATTTAGTTTCCAAATACTTCAATTTCACTGTGGTTAGTGAACTCCTTTGCATGACTTGGATTATTGAGACCTGTTTTATGGCCCACAGCCTCTACTATTTTGGTGAATACTTCGTGTGTACTTGAAAAGAATATGCATTCTGCTGATGTCAGGTAAAGTGCTATATAAATGTCAGTGAGGTCAAGATGGTTGATATTATTTGAGTATTGCTGTTTTTCTGTCTGCTTATTCTGCTAATCATTGAACAGGGATATTGAAATCCCCTTTGGATTGTGATATTGGGATATTTTGACTTTGTCTATTTCTCCATGCAGTTTCAAGTTATGGTTCATGTATTCTGAAGTTCTGTTACTAAGTGCATAAATATTTAAGACTAGAGTGCCATCTTGATGAATTAACCTATCACCATCATCATGAGATGAACTTTGCTATCTCTTTGTTACTCTTTGCTCTGAAATCCATTTTGTCTGGCATTATCAAAACTATACTCATTTTCTCTAGTTTTGTTTTTGTATGGTATATTTTCCCCATCATTTTTAAAATCCCATTAGTGTCTTTATATTTAAAATGGGTTTCCTTTAGGCACAAAAATTTGTGTGTTTATTTATTTTGTTTTGCTTTTTTATCCAATCTGAAGAATACTGTCTTTGGATTGTGGTGTTTAGATCATTAATTTCGATGCTATTAATGATATGATTAGGTTTAAATATACCATATTGTTACTAGTTTTGTATTTGTCTTATCTGTTCTGTGTCCGTTTTTCTTTTTTCCTGCCTTCCTTTGAATTGAGCATATTTATCATGATTCTTTCTTCTTCCTCAATTGCTTTATTAGCTATAACTTTCTGCTGAGTTATTTTACTAGTTGTCTAAGGGTTTTTAATATCCATATTTATCATGATCTTCAAGAGATATTGTACCACTGCTTGTCTAGTAGAAGACCCATATATCAGTATACTTCCATTCCTCTATCCTGCTCTTTGTGTTATGGTTGTCAAACTCTATGGACTCACTATCCATCGTTGTTAGTTTTTGTGGTTCTTTCCCGTAAGTTCTCAGTTACCTTTGAAAGGGGTTTGAATAACAAGGAAGGTGGCATTACATTATATGGAGTCATCATTCTGGCAGTCTTCATTCTTTTGCGTGAATCTGGATTTCCCTCTGGTATCGCTTTCCTTTTCCATGAAAAACTTTTAACATTTCTTTAGGTGCAGGTCTGCAGGTGACGGATTCTTTTAGCTTTTGTGTGTCTGAAAAGCTTGTGTTTTCCTCCACTCACTTAAGGACTGTCCCAAGTCTCAGCAGATCTGCCAGGCCTTTTCACTGTTCCCTGTGGCTTTAAGGGGGTGGGTGCAAGAAAGAGGTGGTAAGCTATAGAAACAACTTCTTTTTCTCAAGAGCTTCGGGGAACCTAGCTATCCACTGAGGCAGAAGTCAATGGGCTGGTTCTCTATCCAGAGAGCAGGAGTAAGCTGAACGATAGCCAGCAAGTAAGGGTTGGTAATTTATCATTTGTGGGTTTTGCATGATCAAGGAGGTGAGAGATTTTCCTTTTACCATGATGAAGTAGCTCCTCTTTGGACCAGTGGTGATGAAGAAATGCCTTTTGCTACCAGAAAATTGATGTCTTTTACAACTTGATGACCAATTTTTGGGTTTCCATGTCACATCTAAGTCAAGTCTGTCTTTCATGTCCTCCGGGGAGATGGTAACATCTCCTGGGCTCAGTTGAAGTTTCTCAAGTCTCTGTTTGCATATATGATTTGGTCAGCAAAAAAAAGCTAGACAAAACCACCTCATCCTTTCCCACCAATTTCCTCCCTCCTCCCTTCCCCTGCCCCCCTAGTGAATCACACTTATTTGAACAGACCTAGTATTCACACTTGAGGTCTGCCGATTTCTGCTTTGAGGTCAAGTCCCTGCTGTCTCCTCTGAGCCACCCTCTTCCTCTTTTCTTGGCCTCTGTCTCGCAGTCATGAATGGAGTTTCAGCAGTTTCCCTTCGACTCTAATATTAAGTAGATCTACCATTCCAGATTCTAGTCTCTTCCTCCCTGAATGATCCCACACTGGATATTTTGTGTTCATCATCTTGCAAATTCAACTCCTGTATTTTCTTGATAACATCGTGTATTTTGCAAAAAAGGGCATTCTGTTTGTTTTTCATAATTACTTTTTCTGTTAGAGAAATTAGCATGTTAATTGTAGAAACCAGAAAGTACAGACTTGCAAAAAGAAGACAATACAATCATTAAAAAATTTCATACTACCCAGAGATGACCACTGTATTCAAGTTTTGGTCCTGTGTCTTCCTAGTCCTCCTGTCCTATGTGATCTGATGCATAAATTTCGGTTTCTTTTCTTTATAAAATGGTACTGTACTGAATAAATTGTTTTGTAAGTTATTCAACCTCCTTCTGTGTTTGAACACTTGAGTGTTTATTGTTTGCACACTGTCAGCATCTCAAACAATTGTGCATGTACTTGCTGCAGCTGGATCTTTGGATACCTGGGATGGAGTTCTGAGGATCCCTGTCAGGAGGCAGAAGTCCCAGAACAAACAGCATTTACCATCTTAAATTTTCCAAATTAAAATTCCGGGCAAGATTTTATGGAAGTTCTTATGAAAATAAACTTCCATTCAAAAAGTGAGAAAACACCTTTTTCCAGCCACTCAATCGATCTTGGGTGTTATTTATGATTTTCTATTCTTTGTCATTTTGAAATGCAAAACACTGAAAAACAAACAAATTATTAATTTGGTGGCAATATCTAACCTCGAGTCATGAAAATGTTCACAGCCTCTATTTACCTCATTTAGTGTGAATGTTCATGTTTTGCTGTAGGCGTGTCCTGCGGGACTTGGAGCATCGATCTAGATGTTTCAGGGTGGGGAGTCTCAGTCCAGCCTGCTGCTGTAACAGAACACCACAGGTGCTGGTTGATAAAAACCAAGCAGGAGTCTCTCTCAGTTCTGGGACTGGAGACTGAAGTTGGGTGCCAGCCTGGGCAGGGGACCCCTTCTAGGAGGATTCCTTGTGTGTCCTCACCTGTTGGGCAGGGCCAGGGAGGGGGATGTTTGTGAACAAAACCCTCAGACCCTGCTGGGAGGGTTGCTGATAAGCCCCTGCGCACCAAAATGCCTCTCAAAAATCTGAAAATTTCTAAATTTGGAAACACATCTGGCCTCAGGAATATCAGATAAGTAACTGTGAGTAGATATGAAACACATAATTAACACCAGCTTAATAGGCAAACATCATGCCTCATTTATTTGAATTTATATTTCCTTGTTTACTAGTCAGGTTAAATGTAGATTATGTATCTCCACCATCAATATTACTCATGGTTTTTGTTTATTTGGATTGAGCTTTCAGTTGTCTAGAGAACTTACTCAAAGTCACTTCCCCTCCTCCAAGGCTCTGGAGGGAGGTACTTGCTTTTTTGAAAAAAAAAAAAAAAAAAAAAATAGAGAAGCTTCTCGGCAGGAATAGGTCCTAGGAGTCCTCTCTCCTGGCCTCTGCAGGAGGTGGGTGTGCTGTCTGTCACTCTGGAATGAGAGGAAAGATCTGGTGCCAAATAATTTTTGTCCCCAGTGTAGATGCTGGTCATTTCTTTTTCCTTTTCATCCTTTCCATTAGGAAAAAAATAGCTAAGTTTCTTTATGTTTATCTGGTACTTAAAACATGAAAACAATGTAAAGAAAGATTTTCTACAATAGCTGGTACAAAGACGCCATTGAAGTGCCCACTGACAGAGAACTGGATGGAGAAGAGGTGGTCCATCCGCACCACGGAATATTATTCAGTCATGAGAAAGGATGAAATGCTGGCGCTGACTGCAAAATGGAAGGAGTTTGAGGGAATGATGTGTAGAACACCCAGGCAGAAGGACAAAAACATTGGACCTGGACACAGCAGACAATTCGGCAAGCCAACTACTTATAAACACTAGTGGACACTAAGAAGCATAGTGAGGTTTCTGAGGTTAAGGGAGTAGGAAGGAGAAAGGTCAAAGGGATGCAGGGATGGTGGGAAAATGACCATGTTTTTGAGAAAGATATGATGTTGACAACTTCCCTCAAAAACAAACACACTAAAAAAGAGTTTTTCTTCATCCCAGGGAAATGGTTTTTCTCTTAGTCCTTAAATCATGTCAACTTCCTGTCTGCCCTGGACTGTCTGGAATTTCTTATGCTCAGACATGGGGCCCCTAGGATTGAGTTTTCTTGTCTTATATTGTTGGCTGATTGTCTTCTCTGTTCACCCGTTCTCTGGCTCTCTGTCCCTGATGGGTGTTCTGCTCTGCCAGTGGTGTTCCTTCTCTCCCTGTCTACATGACCGTCCCCTAGCCAATAGGGTAGGTAGAGGAGGGTCAGGCTCTTTGGGGCCACCTGGTCTCTGACCTTGACCTT